ATAAGTAGGGTGGGGGGGGAGACTAATTCCCATGCAGAATTTTGAATAATTTATGCAGATACTCTGCCCTCAAGAAGGTGGAACATGATTTCCTATTCTTTAAGCGTAAGCTGAGCATAGTGACTTTTTTCCACAGTATGGAAAGTGGGGGAAAGCATGGAGATAACACTACCTCCACCAGGTGATCTAGGTCAATAACAACAGTCATAAATCATGTTGATAGAATGTACCCTTGATATAATATGATGAAAATGGCACTTTACCTTTGTGATCTTCCTTCCCCAAACCCATAACCACAGTCTAATCAGGAGAAAAACATCAGACAAACTCCAGTAGAGGGTCACCTACAGTATACCTTACCAATAATTCCTAAAACTGTCAGAGTCATCAGAAACAAAGTCTGAGAAACTGTCACAGCCCAGAGGACTCTAAGGAGACATGATGACTAACTAATTTAGTATCCTGGTGAGATTCTGGAACAGAAAAAGGATATTAGGTAAAAATTAAGGAACCCAAACTATGAACTTTAATTATTATTAAAATTAATAATAGGGGCACCTGAGTGGCTCAGTTGGTTAGGCATCTGCCTTGGGCTCAGGTCATGATCCCAGGGTCCTGGGTTTGAGTCCCGCCTCAGGCTCCCTGCTCAGTGGGGAGTCTGCTTCTCCCTCATCCTCTGCCCCTTCACACCACCCCACCCCCCGCTGGTGCTTTCTCTCACTCAAATAAATAAATAAAATCTTTTTTAAAAATTAGTAATAATGTAAGATGTCAACAATAGGAGAAACTACAGGGATATACTCTATACTATTTTTTCTTTAAATCTAAAACTGTTCTAAAAAAATAAAGTCTATTGGGCACCTGGGTGGCTCAGTAGTTAAGCGTCTGCCTTCGGCTCAGGTCATGATCCCAGGGTCCTGGGATCAAGCCCCGCATCGGGCTCCCTGCTTGGCAGGAAGCCCGCTTCTCCCTCTCCCACTCCCCCTGCTTGTGTTCCTGCTCTCGCTATCTCTCTGTCAAATAAATAAATAAAATCTTAAAAAAAATAAAATAAAGTCTATTTTTACAATGTCCTATTTTATCATCTTGCCTTTCGTGTTACTCACCAACATAAGCCACTGGGCCAATTCAGTTAAGAGGAAAGCGAATAGGAGAGAAAGAGAAAGCAAGGCTGAGTCCAGTAAAAAGGGTCAGGAAGAAATCAATCCAAGGCCAGAAATGGTTGCAAAATCAAGAAAAAGTTCCTAAGTTTAGTTTGTAATTATTCTGAGAATACACTCACCTGGCAAGGGTCTGGCCTTTTGCTATGATATCTTTTAACTGTTTCCTCTAAACAAACCCTCATTCTTGGGATTCAGATCAGCTAATTATATACAAAATATATTATCAGGGATCTCCAATTAAGAAAAAACATTATGCAAAAAGCAATATTTAGTTTTTTTTAAGACTGAAAATAAGCTCTGTGTGTCTATAAAGAAGAGTGGGTAGCTTAAGAAATGTGATTATATTTGAAGGTCTGTAGGATCCAAATATCTGGTGAGGCAGGTAGTTCTAGTTTCTAGAAATATGTCAGATTAATAATATAATAAAGATCAATTATTCAATCTCAAGTAAAGCCTCAAACAAAATGAAAAGAAACCTTATTACTCCCCTGTAGGGTAATTTTGAATCACATCTGAACTAATCCTGAAAGAATCTTTATTTTAGAGGCTTCTGGAAGACCTGGGGAAGAGTGCCCTAAGGAAGGATCTAAGCCTGTTTACTGTATGCAGGGAAAGAAAGATAAGTTATCGATGTGGGCACACAAATAACAATTTATTTGACAACTTGCCCCTAAATTGAGAGCAATACTGAAATGCTGCCTTAACCCCAAGACCTCTGCAGCAAATTATTTTAATTAAGAAAAGGAATAATGGCAGACGGTCCTTCTTTGTAAACTTCGTCTGCATTTCCTTAAGAAAATAGCCAAGGTTTTCACTTCGCAGAACCAGATTTGCATTCTCCAATTATCTCTAACTGGAAGGTTACAGAGTAATCTAAGCGGGGGGAGGGGACCATTTACCGAAACAGCTGTCAACACAAACTAAAGTAATCAAAGCAGTATTTGGAGGCCTCAAATTTGGTTGCCCTTCACCTCTTTAGACAATCAACTGCCTCCCAGCAGGGTGGGAACCTACACTATTCCAATAATTTACATAAGAAATTAGCAACCAAAATTTACATCTGAAAGGTAACCCTAGAAGCCCATCAGGTATTAAGTATCTGCTTATCTAAATTGCCTCTAAAAATAGCTTTCCCTTCCTTTAAGTCTTAGGTAAATAGAGGATTTCCCACGAAGGGAAGGTGGTATGCTAAGACAAGTCCAGGCATTATATTGCCCAAATTCACCATCATTTCTTTTTTCTTTTTTTTAATTAACATAAAATGTATTATTTGTTTCAGGGGTACAGGTCTGTGATTCATCAGTCTTACACAATTCACAGCACTCACCATAGCACATACCCTCCCCAGTGTCCATCACCCAGCCACCCCATCCCTCCCACCTGCCTCCACTCCAGCAACCCTCAATTTCTATAAGAAAAATTTCAGGACTGTTCTGTCTTTGGAGGGAGAGGGCTCTTGGAACTACCCTAGACTGAGCCAAATTAAAACAGCTATGGACAAACTTTAAACTATCAAATTATAAACTATGCTTTTTGTTTTTAATGGCCACCTTCCGGGGAATTAAAAGGGGGAAAATACAGACATGTAATTCATTATAAGAAATCAAAGTAGCTGATGTAGGAATCTACCTGTAGGACTAGTGTTTTCAAGTTGTTTTGGAATGTGAATTTATACTTGAGTGGGATCTCCCCCCCAACACACACACAAGGAAAATTGCACCTCCAAGTTTTAACCTTCATCTCTAAAATTAACAATACCTTCCCTTACACTTTACATAACCACTACACGGTAAGAGTAGTGTTCTCGTGTTTTAAAGTTCAAGAAATATTTGCTATCTGTTAGATCATGGTGTTTATATCTTGGTGTGCACTAAACAGCTTTCCACACCTGACTGTTAGTAATACCAGTGTCAGCACCCCCAAGAGGCAAAAACATGCTCAGAACATAGGAAAATGGGGAGCCCCTCCCCCATTTTTGGTACAAAATTTGATATTTCAAAACTATCCCCTAAAGCTTTTACTCTGGTTCTATTAGATTCTTACATATAACAAGATTCTCAATGACAATCTAACAATATTTTAAGCATAATTTCAATGTCTGGTTGTTAACTGTTAAGTATGACTTGACTGATCAATAAATAAAAGGTACAAAAATGGATATAAAAGAGCTAAGTGGAAACCCAATCTGGTCACCTTCTACACAAATATAGGTTTAAAGGCCTATATGACCAACAATAATGAGTAAATTGATATATATTATATTAAGTCTGGGCAAAAGAAACCAATCACATGTGGAAGAAAATTTATAAGGAATGATGTGCTAGAGGCAGGCCCAGGTGCAGATAGGCTACTAGAATTAAGGATTTTGAGCTTTTTACAGTTTATCAGATTCTTTTGAGAAGGGAAGGGAAGGGAAGGGAAGGAAAGGAAAGGAAAGGAAAGGAAAGGAAAGGAAAGGAAAGGAAAGAAGGAAGGGAGAGAGAGAAAAGAAAAAAAGGCAAGAGAAAAATCAAACTTTCAAACAGTGCACATTTATCTGGATTTGCACATTTGAATTTCTAGTTTATCCCAGATTATTTGCAATTCAAGCTTTGTAGGGAGAATGTCCTGCAATATTACCCCTCTCCTCCTACCTCCTCACCCCCAAGATTTGCATGCATTGTAATCACCCCATGTGGGGTATAAAAGCTGTGCCCTGGCTAATATGGATAAAGTAGAATCCGCATACTAAGTAGGCTGGGATAGCCAGAAAACAGCACATACACTAAACAGAGGGAAGAGAGTATATTTTAAGTTGTGACATTATCAAAACCATGAAATACTGAGAACGTTTTATATTTGGATTTCCTTTTTAAAGTGTGGTTGAAGCCTTAGTGGAAGAGGAAGTTGACAAAATAAATAAAATGGGGTTATCAAAATATGTACATTTTTATCTTCTACAAATAACACATACTGTATAACTGTTCAAAATAAATGGAAAAGGTAAATATAAAACATCTAATATATACATTATTATTTTGAGGGTGGAAGAGAAAGAAGTAGGAAGACAGGACACTATTTTTTTAAAACAGTTTGATTCGCATTTCTGGGATTTCTTTTTTTTTTAAGATTTTATTTATTTATTTGACAGAGAGAGACACAGCGAGAGAGGGAACACAAGCAGGGGGAGTGGGAGAGGGAGAAGCAGGCTTCCCACAGAGCAGGGAGCCCGATGCGGGGCTCAATCCGAGGACCCTGGGACCGTGACTTGAGCCGAAGGCAGACGCTTAACGACTGAGCCACCCAGGCGCCCCAAGACAGGACACTTTAAAAGTTCCTAAAATAGGGCGCCTGGGTGGCTCAGTTGGTTGGGCGACTGCCCTCGGCTCAGGTCATGATCCTGGAATCCCGGGATCGAGTCCCGCGTCGGGCTCCCTGCTCGGCAGGGAGTCTGCTTCTCCCTCTGACCCTCCCCCCTCTCATGTGCTCTCTCTCTCTCTCATTCTCACTTTCTCAAATAAATAAAATCTTTAAAAGAAAATAAAAGTTCCTAAAATAGTAGTATTCCTGCAGGAAAAACCCCAATCTGGGCCTAGGCTTGCTTTGCCACATATCATCTCAGAGAAGTTACTCAACTGCTCCGAATCTTACTTTCTTCATCTAGAAGATAGAACGATAATACCTGTCTTTTTTATAGACACCTGCTGTGAAATCATAGGAGATAATGTCAGTGAGAGCATAATCATTCCTCATTCCTTTCTGTAATTACTGGTTTCCAGCCTTGAGCACCACATGCATGATTGGAAACTAGCCAGACAATAAAGAGGGATCAGAAAAAAAAACAAAAATGAAACCTACCATCTGTAGTGCAAGACCCTTCTGGGGCAGGCTTTTGTGAATAGGGAATCGGTGGGCTATTTGAATCAGACATTTCTTCATCATCTTCGTCATCTTCCATTTCATTAACTGTTAGATTGTTAGAAAAATCCAGGCTTCCATTTTGAGTGTAGCGGTGCACCAAATCTTTATCCAGATCCTCCACCTTGGGTTTTACATCTGGGTGAGCAAATGAATCACAGCTAAGTTAATAAAAAGATGTTTATGGAAAAATAACCAAAAGAAAAATTCATAGTTCTAAAAGATATTGGAGGACTGGGAGATGAGCAATGTCTAACATTTAATCAATTTACTTCAGAGGTCCCCAGATTTGGAATTTTCACTTCTTTTAAAAGGAATCTAGAAATGTGTGGGATTGAGAAACTTACCTGCAGATGAGAAAGGATGCTGGTCAGGGTCCAAGTACAGCTGGGAAAAAATTGGCCGTGGTACCACACTACTACATCTGAGAGACGCTTCTATGGAGTTGTGGAGAGCTTCCTCAAATTGAGCAGATTTCAGTTGCCCAGCATATGAATTCCCCATGGTCTACACCACCCCCCCAAAAGAGAAAGAGGGAGAAAGGAAAAAATTGATATGATTAGAGGACTCTATGTCTGCAAAGTACACAAAGGGCTGATATAAACTATATCCATATATCTTGTTAAGATTCATACATGAACTTTATCTATATTTCTTAAGACAATTTGTATCAGTTATCCATTACATCACTTTTGCTTTTTGTCTTTATAATCCAAACCCATTTCAAAAAGACCCTTTAGAGGAGCTTATATCTGAGAATCAAATGGTAATAAATGCTTTCAGGTTCTCCAACCAGTAAATCAAGATTGACCTGTTAATTGTGAAGCTGAACATGATGACAATGGGACCACAACTCCTCCTTAAAACTAGTGGGCTCCCATAACCCTATACCAACTCTATCAGTACTTTTAGAGTAAATCTCTAGTTACTTCTCTCTCTACTAAAATCTTCTTACCCTGGCACAGTGGGGGGAGATGCTTCTCTGGGGAAAAAAAAATGAAAGCTTTATGATAATATACTTAATTGACAAATTTCTAAAAGAAAGATTTAAACCTTTTAAACCCAAAGAAGTCATTCATGTATTATTAGTATTTATTTTAAAAAAGTGTTTTTTTTCCTTCATTTAAATCATAATCTCATTTGGGACCCATTAGGAAAAAGTATAATGTAGGAAGTTCTAAAGTCGTGGCCTTTACTTCTCATAACTAATATTTGTATAGTTCTTGCTAGTTACAAAAATCTCCATGTATATAAACAATAACTACAATTCATGAGGTACTAACTATTGGCTACACCAACATTTCTCAAAGTGCGGTCTGAGGTCACCAAAACCCTTTCTGGGGTCCAGGAGGTCAAAACTCTTTTCCAACTTATTACTAGGATAGTATTTGCCTTTTTGACTCTCAGTCTCTCATACGTGTCCAGTAGAATTTCCAGAGGCTGCATGATGTGTGATACTGCAACAAGTTGAATGTGGAAGCAGACAGACCACACTTCTTGCTAAATTTTTTTTAGAAAATACAGTTCTTTTTCACAAAATATGTTTTTTATGTTGACATATAATGGGTTTATTATTTTAGTTAATATGTGTTTTAAATATTTCTTAGTCTTGGGGCAGCTGGGTGACTCAGTCGGTTAAGCGTCTGCCTTAGGCTCAGGTCATGATCTCCAGGTCCTGGGATTGAAACCTGCATCGGGCTCCCTGCACAGCAGGGAGTCTACCTCTCTCTCTTTCCCTCTGCCCCTCTCCACCACTCATTCTCTCTCTCTCTCTCTCTCAAATAAATAAATAAAATCTTTTAAAATTTTTTCTTAGTCTTGTGGTGCCTGGGTGGCTCAGTCATTAAGCATCTGTCTTCGGCTCAGGTCATGATCCCAGAGTCCTGGGATCCAGCCCCGCATCGGGCTCCCTGCTCGGCGGGAAGCCTGCTTCTCCCTCTCCCACTCCCCCTGCTTGTGTTCCCTCTCTAGCTGTGTCTCTATCTGTCAAATAAATAAATAAAATCTTAAAAAAATTTTTTTTCGGGCACCTGGGTGGCTCAGTTGGTTAAGCGTCTGCCTTCAGCTTAGGTCATGATCCCAGGGTCCTGGGATCGAGTCCTGCATTGGGCTCCCTGCTCAGTGGGGAGCCTGCTTCTCCCCCGTCCCTCCCCCTGCTCGTGCTTTCTCTCTCTCTCTCAAATAAATAAATAAAATCTTTAAAAAGAAAAAAAAATTTTTTTCCTAGTCTCAATTTCTAATAAATATAATCCACATGAGCAAAACTCAATAATTTTTGAGTGTAAAGGGATTCTGAGATGAAAAGTTTGAGAGATGTTGAGCTGGATAGTACACTAAACAGTTCAAAAAAATTATTTTACTTAATCCTTAGTATTCTGAAGTAGATAGGGCCTCTTCTCATTTCATAGATGAAAAACTAAGGCTTGGAGAAGCCAAGTGACTTGCCTGCTATCATCCAGCTGGTAAAAGTCAGAACCGGAACTCAGAATTTAGCTGTGTGATGATAAATCCTGCACTCCTAGAGTACAGGCTCAGCTTGGATAAATCTCATTTCAAGAAAGGCAATTTGAGGGGCGCCTGGGTGGCTCAGTCGGTTAAGCGTCTGCCTCCGGCTCAGGTCATGATCCCAGGGTCCTGAGATTGAGCCCCACATTGGGCTCCCTGCTCAGCAGGGAGCCTGTTTCTCCCTCTCCTTTTGCCTCTCCCCCTGCTTGTGCTCTCTCTGACAAATAAATAAATAAAATCTTAAAAAAAAAAAAAGAAAGAAAGGCAATTTGAGGGGCACATGGCTGGCTCAGTTAGAAGAGTGTGCAACTCTTGGGGCGCCTGGGTGATTCAGTTGCTTGGGCAACTGCCTTCGGCTCAGGTCATGATCCTGGAGTCCCGGGATCGAGTCCCGCATCGGGCTCCCTGCTCGGGAGGGAGGTCTGCTTCTCTCTCTGACCCTCCCCCCTCTCATGTGCTCCCTCTCTCTCTCTCTCAAATAAATAAATAAATAAAATCTTAAAAAAAAAAAAGAAGAAGAGTGTGCAACTCTTGATCTTAGGGTTGTGAGTTTAAGTCCCACATTGGGTGTAGAGATTACTTAAATAATTAAAAATTTAAAAATTTAAAAAAAGAAAAGAAAGGCAATTTGAGAATATCTTAGTCCCACTTATCCCATCAAGGAGAGGGACAGATACTAAATTTCATCTGGAACTCCAACTTTGATTGACTCTCTGGAGGGAGTCCCTAGAGGACTAATTAAGAAGGACCCTGAGCATGCATCTGGGCTCAGCAAGAAAAGAAAGCCAAGACCCAGTGGTGATGACTCAGCAGAGAATGGGTGATGCATAGCACAAACTTACTGTCGGGTTTCTCAGATTTATATGCATGAGCTCCATAGGAGATTTTGGTGGCTCTGAGCTGCCTCTGTATAGCAAAGAAGGCCATTTATATGATTCCTGGTAGCAGTGAGTAGTATTCAGAGATTTCCATCGGAGTAGCTAAGTTTATCAAAGCTTTGTTAGAGATACTTATGATTTGGAGGAAAAGCTGGAATTATATTTTGGCAAACCTTTCTCAAAATAGGTAATAAGAAACTAAATGCCATGGATTTAAATTAGTAGGTTCCTCTTTATAAGGAAAAGAAATTTTGTAACTATATGAGGTGATGGTTAACTAAACTCATTGTAGGAACAATTCCACAACATATACCTTTATCAAATCATCATGTTGTACATCTAAAACTTATACAGTGTTATGTGTCAATTTTATCTCTATAAAACTAGGAGAAATAAATTACTAGGTTTCTTTCTTATAAAAAGTACATACCCAAAAACATATGTATGATACTCAAAACTGTAAGTGGAAGAAAAACAACAAGGTCTGTCAAATAAAGTTCTCCTGAAATACCAAGTTTTTGTCCAAGCTTCTAAGACTCCCCATTAGTATAACTATAAACAATTTAAATTTTCTAAAGCTCAATAACAATTTATTTTTCAGGAGAACCTCATGGGATCAAAACAGGGTGGGGTTGCAGGAGAAATATGCTGTGTCACCAGTTTATGTATGTAAGTCAAAATTCAATAGCCATTTCACCTTTCTTCTTTGCAGAAGGGAGAAAACTACCAGCACAGCCATGGGATTTCTTAACTGTGGAGAACAATGGAATAACTTCAAAGGTGGACCTTTAGCCTTTCTCCAGAGCACCAAATGCCTGGAAATCTTGCCTCTACTTAACTATTACCTGCTCAACAAGTTATCTTCCTTTTATCATTGAAAACCTTGAGAACCATATTCTCTAAGAGATCTTTTTAGTTTAATAAAGAAGTGCCCAGTTGTACATGGAGGACTACATAATTTCAATCTCTTTAATTTATAGTTTAAGGAGCAATATAACAGATACATATATGTATGGCAAATAAATATTGTGCTGAATAAAAATATTAAATCAACAGAAAATGGGTGATCAAGTTTCACCATCATAGAAGATATACATAATCCAACAAGAGCACTAGCAATATTCAGGGGAAGACAAAGGGAAGTACCCATGAAACAGTTGGAAGAGTAAAAGGAAGTGACTGATTATTCCAAATGAAAACATAACTGGGCATTTTTCAAATGATAATGATAATGTGAAGAATTATAAAACTGACCCTAGACTTCTTTAGTGCTGAGTATGGAGTTCTTCCCTTTATTAGTTCAAGTTCAATGCTACCCAATTTCCAGTTCAATGTTTACCAAAAGAAAGGTAGAGTTCAGGGAAGAAGCCTTGTTAGTGCAATGTATTCTTAATATCATATGCTATAATTTTTAGGGTCACTGAAACTATTGGCATTATTCACCTAGACTGCCAGTGTTCCTTTCATCTGAATCTCAAAGATCTCCAGTGCCTGAGATGGCATAACATCCCACTGTAAGTCACTGTGAATAAATCCAACTTCAGGTCAGAAAACAGAGAACTACTTTTCAGAATTTTCAGAATCAGTTGTTGAATCAAATACAATAAGAAAGCAAACCTGTAATTTCTACATATACATGCGTAACTTATGTATCGGGCTTACATTAAGGACTACAGACCTCTGAGATGCTAATAGACACTCTTGTGACATTAAAGAAATCTCTAAGAAAGACATGGTACACAATATGGGCTCTTTCTGCACCACTAATTCTTTTTTTTAAAGATTTTATTTATTTGAGACAGAGAGAGAGAGCACACACAGAGAGAGGGAGAAGCACGGTCCCTGCTGAGCAGGGAGCCTGATGCGAGGCTCCATCCCAGGTCCCCAAGTTCATGACCCGAGCTGAAGGTAGATGCCTACCTGACTGAGCCACCCCAGTGCCCCCCAATAATTCTTTCTGAGAGAAAGGGTGGGGAGTGGCTGAGGGAGAGAGAGACTCTTAAGCAGGCTCCTCACGCAGCAGCATGGGGCCTGATGTGGGGCTAGATCTCACCACCCCGAGATCATGACCTGAGCCAAAATCAAGAGTTGGACGCTTAACTGCCCCATGCACCACTAATT